CAATGATCGCCGCTCGGTCATCAGCTGCACTCGGCAACAGCTGTGCTTCAGCGGATCACAATCAGCTGACAGACGGACGACCTCATTACAAACCAGAAATTGATTAATTGAATATCGAACGAAAACAAAAAATACATTTGGAGAGGTGCCGCGCAGCACCATTGCAACAACGTCAACTAACAACATAATATAATAGTATACAATACCCYGTGATTATTAATAATAAAAATTCACACACGGAGAGAGAGGAAGGTTTTCGATTATTTATTTCGGCCACTATCACTAACATCCTGTGATATTATTATCATCTCGTCCGCGTTATCATCGTCGTTTTTATTATTGTTTTCACTACGCCGTTTCCCGATCGCACTACGGTACTGCTGATACCGAGTACCGACGACTACAACTGCGGTACAACTGCAGGCTACAGAGTTTTGCTCTCGGCGATGCTTATCCTTTACATGCTGTACCAAGATCGCATACTTGCCAGGGTGGTCATCCTTTTGCTACTGCTGATGCTCATGTTTTTCGTCGACTTTTACGTGAGCCACCGCAGTCAAAACTTCTTCAAGTCGTTGAGCAATAGATTCAACCTCATCAAAAGTTGAACGCCACACTGCAGCTATGGACGATACGCCGACGACGTCTTCCGAGGTACCATTTGATGTATAATATACCTACAAAAGTAGTGTGTCGTTACGGGGAGTAGTACCGTAGTAGTTACAGTCCTCCGTTACACCGCCTCACATTATTCCGCAATGTTGTTTATTAATGTTATTTTTGCAGGACGACGCAAAAGTGTTGTTTCGCAAGGGAGTCGACTACGAACGGGAGGGTTTCCACTACAAGGCGACGCGTTGCTACAAGCAAGCGCTGAAGTTAGACCCTGATGTTGAGAAAAAAATTGCAGATGAAGAGTTTGTTGCACGCTCTATGGATACAACTGGTGAGAAGTGTAACTTAAGTATTTGTGGAATGAACTTAACGTGTTTTATTTTTAGCAGATGAAAATAATGCAAGCGATGACACAATCGAAGACGAATATGATAACAAAGAAAACCTTTTCTTGAGATTTCAGAGAATAATGGGACCTCTAATATGCTTTCCAGCACGTGCTCAACTAGTAAGTATGACAATATTCAAGATTCAACTCTTAAAATGTTTTTTTGTTTTATTATTATTTTATTTGTGTTCTAGACCACTCATTTTTCAGCACTTCCTCCTGAGCTCATTATATATATATTTAGGTGGGTTGTATCTTATGATCTTGATCTACGTATGTTAGAGCAGTGTGCAGCTGTTTGTCGTGGTTGGTACTTGTGTGCAAGAGATCCCGAATTGTGGCGTCGAGCATGTTCCAAGTAAATTAACTTAATAAGCATTTTTATTATTTTTTTAAAACAGTTATATTTATTATTGCCTTGTCACTGGTATGACCATTTGTTATAAATATAATAATATTTTTTATTACATAAGACTGTTAAAACTTTCAAATATAAATAAATAATATTTAATAATAATAATTCTTTAGAATTTATTGTGATATAACTAATAGTTTAATTAATATCTCATAATTAGGTACACATAAAAAATAAAACAGTTTTGCAAAGACTTCATTTTCACACTTTTTTTTGTTATAAGAATGTACTATTCTAGTAAAAATTGAATGCTGATATTAAATGTTGCAAGAAGTAAATATTTAAAATCAATTTTTAAAAATATTTTGTTGTAAGCTAATAAAATCCATAAGACCATAAGATAGGTTAGGCACTGACATTTGATTACACATAYCTACCTACATACTAACATGGTAATAATAAAATTTCAAACATTATAAATAGTAATTACTCTTTTTCCATGGATAGAACATAATATACCTGCCTAACTTTAAAGTGAGATATTATAAAAATATCAATATTTTAGATAAATAGATTAGGTAAAGACTGTAGATCGATTACTGATGTATGATCGCCTGAACGCAAGGTGATAAATTGTGTACTGCTTGATGAAAGGGCAGTAAGAAAAAAGTACCTTAAAAACTGTAAAACATTAATATTATTATACTTTATTAAATTGAAATGTGTTAAGTCT